CGGGAGAGCTCGTCGGGGCTGCGCGCCCCCGGGGCTAGGCGTCGGGTGTCGGGGGTGGGGGGTTGCCTTCAACATCTGGAGGATCCGACTGGGCCGCCCACTCTGAGCAGGGGGCCCCCAAAACTTGAAAAGCATCTGCTGGGGACTTAACCCCACGGCCCCGGGACTCTGACATCCAACTGAAACAATAAGGTCCACGAGGGAGGGTATAAGCTATGTGATGACAAATGTTTCATCCTCCCCAAGTGCTTATTTTAACCTTGTCTACACGGGAGGATGCCTGGGGGAGAAGTAAAAATAGACACGTGGCTAAAAGAAGAGAGTTCCCAGCATGGGGCAGCACGTGGAGCGTGAGGCTGGGGTTCTGCAGCCACCCACAGCAGTGCTGGGCTGTGGGGATCTGCACCACGCTGGGGATGGGAGCCTTTGGGTGACCGCAGCGTTGACACTCCTTCAGGGCACAGCCCTTTGTTCCCCTGACTCCTGTGTCTCCTCTGTAGGTCTGCTGGAGATCTCCCCCGTGGAAAGAGGAGTGGTGAGCATATTTGGTGTTAGAAGTGGACTCTTCGTGGCCATGAATAGCAAAGGCAAACTCTACGGATCTGTAAGTAGCCAAGGAGCGTGTGCCTGGGGAGGGGACCATGGTCAGACGGGGTGAGAGGTGTGCGTGGTGCTCAAAGCTGCCCAAGCCCTATCCTTACCCTTCCTGGGTCAAGCAACACAGAACAGCCCTTGCTGCCTCGCCAGCAGAAGGTGTGCTGCCCAGGTATGCTGCTTACTGAGATTTTGAAGTGAAACCCACTCTTCTGCGTCACATTTCCTTGGTTCCCCCGTAAAAACAATAGTCACCCAAGCTGGCTACCCATCTTGCCTATCATGTGGACCAACTGAGTTGTCATTTGTGTGGCAAGACCTCGAGCTAGCCTCAGTCCATATCTTTCTTGTATTTAAGTACAAACAGCCTTAAGCAGGTGTGACAATCACTCACTTCTTCACTCAGAGTGCACTTGAACTTGTGATCATCCAGGACCCCCCAAAATGTTCCTTTAAGATGAGATGAATCAGTGCCTGCCACATACCTACAGATCACTCCTTGTTAACGCTCTTGATTGGAGAGTCAGTTCCCATGACAGTTCAGCATCTTCAAGGTCTGGTCTTATATTTATCAGAAGGCAGATCCATTAGCAGACAATACAGATCTTTTTTTTACATAGAGTCTTTGCGAAAGAGAGAGGCATCTTATAAAACACACTTGACGTGGACAGTAACATTGCCTGTCTTTGCCCGTGTTGAACTGTCCTCCTGCTTTTGAGTTCAATTCTGTAGAAGCAATCAGCATCATTTCAAACCCATGTTCCTGGGTCTCACTCCTTACCCATGGCTTTTCTTTTTCATGTTTCTGAAGTATGCTTTGAAGAAACTTGGGCTGAGGAAGAGCAAAACTACATCAAAGTTAAGGAGGGCATTTTCACATGAAGACATCAAGCATCCAGAATTATTTTCTGGGCCATCAGTCCTGTTAGAGAGGATTTTGATTTATATAAAAGCCAGGCAGAATCAGTCATCAAAGTGCAAGAGCTTCCTTCACATTATTTCTTAGGCAGACTGCTGTTTTGGTGTCCTGGATAAGTTCGTTCCCAGTGCAGTGTTCAGCTTGGCAGGCAGAGAGGTCTCTTACAAAACCCTAGACTTTTGCCCAATAATAAGAGATAAGTCCATTTGTTACTCTCCAGATAACAACGCACTTGTAACCCCTGTCCCTCTTTGTACTTGCTTGCAAATGGAACCTGTTCACTGGAAGGGTGCCTTTTGTCAGCTCTGTTTTCCTGATCCTTCAACGCAGGTGAATCCAAACCCTTCCTTGAATTTTAAAACTAAAGGAGCAGAACATATTGTCAGCTCTGAGTGTCTTTAAAATGCCTCTTTCTGCACAAATGACGTGAGAAAGTGCTACCATTCGGATTTTTCAGAGGCCTCTCTGGCAATTTACTGCTGGTAGGAAACCCACCGAGCAATCAGATCAGCAGGGCAGCAGAGCTGGGCTGGGGGCCCGGCCCACTGTAGCTCGATTAAAATGTGCCCCTCTCCCTCAAAAGCGCGGAGATATCTACAGGTGTCCTTCCCCCCTGGCCTGGACACAGCATCCTTAATGATCCTCTGACTCCTGCGTCCTGTTTGAAGCTTCGTTTGGGCGACCACTTCAAAAGATTGCTAAGGTGGGACGGGGGAAGTCAGCTGCACAGTTCCCCGCAGCACACCTTCTACACCTGGTAGCAAGAATATGTCCACACCTGATGTTTAAAATTCCTTCCCTCTCATTCCTTCCTTTTCATTTCAGACCCATTTCAATGACGAGTGCAAATTCAAAGAGATCCTCCTGCCAAACAACTACAATGCTTATGAATCCAGGATTTATCCCGGGATGTACATAGCCCTGAGCAAAAACGGAAGAACAAAGAAAGGCAATAAAGTATCTCCCACAATGACAGTGACACATTTTCTTCCTCGAATCTGAGACATCTCCCTTCAGACCTACCTCAGCACAGGGGAAAATGCAGAACACGTCTGGGGAAAAGAAACATGGTGCACTTTTACTGGAGAGTTTTATGGAAGAGTAGGTGTCAGATATTTAAGTTAATTATTTAAATCTGTATATATTGCCACAAAATTTATTTATAGTTCTGATTTTTTTTTTTAATTTCTGAAAACGAAACAAACCTCCAATCCAAGGTATTTCATTTCATGGTGCAACAGTAGAAGACTTCTGCTTTGTGGTTTACTTAATTCGTTTCTAAGTTATCACAGGTGTGCTGCTGCTACTCCGTGTCCTAAACCGGGTGAAATTCAATTCCTATACTACAACGTTTTGCACTGTCTGTTGTATGATGTCGATCGTTGTACACGTGTTTGTTTGTTTGCTACGATGGCTTTGTTCTCTGCATGTTTTCCAACCCCCTCGTGACTCCCAGAGAAGCTCTTGGCCTCCAAGAAGGAGCGGTGGCGGAGGTGCCTGGGTGGGATGCCAGCGCGGAGCCACACACAATGCCTGACCTCCTTTGTGCGGCGTTGCTATTTAATCGGAACAGTATCGGTTTACCTCGGTACAGAAAGCGCGGTGCTGAAGAGCTACCCCACAAATCTGTTTTTAGATCTGCCAGTGCTGAACTTTGAACTTTCCTGCAGTCCGTCTTCTTAGAGCTGCCAGGCAGCAGAGAGGCTTAAACACCTATATAAACGCGGCAGGATTGAGGGGGTTTTTCTATTTAGATAAACAGGAGCATACGAGCTTTTGTGGCCCTTAATGGAAGCTTATACTGGATACGACTGCTTGGCATTAGGCTAAGAAAAAAAAAAAGCATCCCAGTGAGCGCGCTGTGAAACACGCTGCAGCCAACCAATTCTATTGAAACCAAATTCCCTTTCACATTGGAGACTACGTTCATTTTTCAAAGTTTGTGGAGCTCTACAATACTCTTAAGTTTTTAAAAGGCAAGAGCGTTTGCTGGTTTGTAGAAAATACAAGCTCCACAGAGAGAGTTTAGATTGATTACAAGTAGCTGAGGTTGTTTTGTACTATTTATTATTTTCGGTGCTGTATTTGGAAGGAGAAATATGCTGCTTTTTTCTGTCTCATTCCCTGACAAAGTTGATTAATTTCTACCTCACTAACTCGCAAAGCCAGTCTCCTAACAAAATCTGCATGGAAGGAAGGTAGGCGCTTTTCTGCTCGGTCTTCCAGTTCTGGAGGAGGGCCTGGGGGAACAATCGTAATCCCAAATCTCGTTTTTTTTCCATATGTAGCCAAAAGTATTCAGGATAGAGTTGGTTGCATCCTATTTGAGCCTTGTCACGTTTGAGCTATCTTTACCCGGTGGTTTACTTATAGTAAGCATAATCATGGTGAAAATATTTGCAGACAGCTGTCAGGCTGCTGTACTATATCGTCATCAAGTAACCCTATATTTTTCTTTATATATTTTGCAAGTGTAACTCATGTCTCTGATGTGATGAAGGAAAAGAGGTTTGATTATAGAGGAATCATGAAAAGGATCCATTTGTCCTTCTTCCTTTCTTTCTTTCTTTTCTTTAAAAGACGCATCTTCTTTCGGGCATCAACATTTTCAGTGGGAACCAGGACTAACCGCAATGTTCGATGACTTGCAGGATGTTTACAGATCATCTTCCAATCTAAACTAGTTATTTCTGACTACATCCAAATCGGAGTTCAGCTTTTTTTTTTTTTTTAATCTCTTTACATTCCTATACAAAAGTCTTTGTTCCTTGTTATGGTATAGACTTGCCTGTATCCTCTGCTTACACATGACCTTGAAGACAAAATCTGCTCACGAAAGTTCAGTAAGACCAGAGCAGACCAGGACCAGGTCTCGAGTCAGCTGCTGTCAAAGCAAAAACAGCAGTTAAGAAAAAGGAAGCCAGATCAAGAGAGAGTGCCTAGGAAATGTCATGCCTATGGATTTAAAATTTTTTTTTTCCATAATTTGGGGGATTTCTGTACTTTCTGTGTTTTCTGTATGTGAGTAATCATTATGTAATTATCACCACTACCTCTGACAACTGATGATTTTGTTCCAGATTTCAGATAACAAAATCAGATCACAAAGATTTTTCTCTGGGAATGGTTCTTCTTTGTCACTTTTCACTCCATTAAACCCACAACCGACGGCCTCACACAAGATAACGCTCTGAGGTAGTTGTTGTAACTTTGAAATATTGTGATAAAACCTTGAGAACAACGTTACATGGGATGAGCTTTCACCATTTGCCAGAATCTGTCTGTAGTTTTATACAGGTGCTGTTCAAGACTGTGGTGTATGTGCTGTGCACATTTAAATGCATAATAAATGATCAACGTTTACAACCTATGGCACCCTGGTATTGATTTTAACTCTTTAGAAGGAAATGCATGCTGCAACGAAAGGCAAAAAAAAAAAAAAATGCTATTTCACTTTCCCAAAGACCGGGGAGGCTTTGCACCTATGCCAGATACTTCGCGAACGACAGCCTGGATTTCTTACTCAGCTAAAGCTCGCCCTGCCAAAGCTGGAAACGGTCCAGCGAAGCCCGGCTTCACGAGCTCGGTAACCGATACGCATGCTTGCATCTGCCACGCACTGGCGTTCCTGCTTGTATTCTTTGCGTGGTTATTAACAACGGCAGCTTTTCGTGCAGCATCTAACTTTAACAATCAGAGACACAAACCACTTTTGGCATTGATGTTGCTGGACGTTAACATTACAAATGAAACCTGATTGCCTTTTTTTTTGGCTTTAATGAGTGCTGCTCGCTTGCTCTCTGTGAAGTAGGACGACATTGATGCAAGAAATTGTAGGATTACCTGTTTGATTGGAGATACTGTCTCTTTTTACAATTTGTGATTATACTCATACAAGTGTATAGAAATATGAAGCGCTTTGTAGCACATCTTACGGCAAGATTCTTTGCACAACTTTTATTTATGAATACTCACGCATATGCACTTGTACACACACGCGCACACAACGTCAGATCTCTGTACTTTCTGCTTTACCAGCTTCCAGCGATTAGGGAAGGATAGGTAACAGGAATGACAAAATTCAGGTTTGA